CGGCCAACTTCTGATGCTTAGGGGAGGAAGCCTGCTGTACCACACCTCGGCGGCTCCGCCTAGTGTTAAATGGAAGGCTCTGCACTTTAGAGCAGGTGAGGCTCCCCTAAGACTCATTTGCGTCATATACTTTGTGAGGTGCTTCTCCGGATCCCCTTTTCCCTCGTACTTGGGGATCTTTGGGGGCATGAAATTAGTTGGCATTGGGAAGCTTCGGATTTCCCTTGAGAAAGGGAGGTTATCGTCATCGTCGTCAATCTCGTAAGATCGGCAGGGCCCCTCTGATCCTTGGTCATCTTGGACGTCTTGGGATGGAGGAGGTGCTTTCCCCCGGCTCCCCCAATCGACTAAGTTTCTCCTCTCCTTCCTGTTTCTAGGAGGAGGGACATACTCCTCTTCGTTGTCTGATCGGGCCGACCCTCTTGAAGGGCGGATCCTATTGCTATGATCGTTCCCTATCCGGTCGAAGACGCTTACTGACCTCTGGTCATCATGTTCTTGAGGAAAGTTGTCCCCCAAGAGTGGTTCTGATGGGTGGCTCTCCTGCATATAAGATGTCGCTTCGGTGTTATCCTCTCTTTCGAGAGGACGTTCGGTGTGCCGGCTCATGTGGCCTCGAGAATGAGACAAAGGGATTTCCTGTACCGGATACGATCCTTGGGGCATCTGGTGTCCCTGAGCTTGCATGAGAAGTTCCCGCATCGCCATATTCTGAGCTGCTATGTCTCTCATGCCTGCAGCTATCTGGGCCATTCCTTCGGTGAGTACGACTGTTCTTTCACCTCGTCGACGCCGGTGATGCGGTCTCTGATGAGTAACATTGATATGAAGTACCTCCTCTTCAGAGGCCTCTCTGATGGGGTTGTCTTCACGGCTGTAGCTCATCCTCCCTCTTCTTTCAAGGATAGTAAGAACTTGGATTGTAACTCGACTTTTATTCTTTTTCAAGAATGCCTCCCTTTTCAGGGTCAGCCGCCGGTTTTCCGATGGCTTCTCCGACGGGGAATGTAGGACTTTGAATGGGGAATGACGTTTCCCACAGACGGCGCCAAACTGTTGACCTCTAAAAATGGCTCTTCCACGTGGCCAACTTGTAGCTACTCCACGTATTACTCTCTACGAAATGAACAAACTGTCAGGCGCACACGGCCGGAACCGACGGGGGTGGCGGCCGTATACACTCCGACGGTCAAGTCAGGTTTGGGTGGTCGGAACAGTGTACAGGGACTACACAAATCAATCAGTCAATAAAGGGAGAGGAGAATATATAAACTTGTTATGGAGTGCTATTTATTGAGAGTTTCATTACCTTTGCCTCTGGCCAATCTTTGGGTATTTATAGGTGGTATGAATCGTGGGATGTGGAACACGTGTATACATCTGACGGTATGAAGCGTCTGCTCATAGGCGTCAATCAGCCGCGCTTGTAGAGTGGGCGGACAGTTTGTTTCCCCCGAGTTGAATTGACATAAAGTTGATAAGTCACATCAAATAGCTTTATGGGGGACGTCAAATCAATTTAAGAGCAAATTTTAAATTGGCAGCGAATCTTCTAACGGGGGTCCACTTGAACCCGACCTCAGAGACAGGACACTTCGGCAGATCAGTGACAGGACTCGGTGTATCACTTTGGAGAAGCTTCGGGAGGTCGGAGTGGTCTATTTGATTTCACCGGCTTCGGAGTGGTGAGATGACACTTCGGTTACTTCGATACCGAGGCTCGTAAAATGAGACACTTCGGTACTTAGGTACCGAGGCTCGTAAAATGAGGCGTAACACTATATATATTCACACAATACATATTGTTAATAACACCATATTTTAATTGTAATAAACATTCCGAATCTTGCTCATCTTTACAATAATCTTCAGCATTTTTTATTGCATTCTTATCATCAATGTTCTATCAATTAGCAACTTTGATGATGATTCTCATCCCAAAAATTCCTATAAAAACATCCTTGTAGTGACCTGCACTTTTAGTTATCCAACTGGGCATCTGTTTGACTCACATTTTTTTTTTGGGCTAAGAAAGCATCTTGGAATAATATATTGATGGAGAATGTGTGATTGGTTTGAGTGTAATATTATTATTTTATTGAATAAAGTATGGTTGAAAAAAAAGAAAGAAAAATGTATGTTAAAAATAATGATGATCAAGGTATTATCGAGAAGTTAAACTTACTCTAGTACTGTCAATGTGATAAGATCCTGAGATCGTTGCTGCAGATCTGAATGTTACTGCTGAAATTTATAGTCTGCTGATGGCTTCGTAGCTGCTGGAAGGACTCTGAATCTGTCTACAAGCCAAGGATGCTGAATTGTTCTATAGGATAGTTATTCAGTAGGTAATTAGATTATAATGTTGTAAATATGGTGGCTGATGTATGTAATGGAACACAATTGTAATTGGATTGTAAACAAGGAATTGTACTCTTTATTCAATTGGAATGATGAACAAAATGTAAATGTAATGACAATGAACAAGGCAAGTTTCGAGAGTTGCCTCCTCTCCTAATGACCCAGATTTCCACTCTCTGAAAATGCCCCTCCCAGCTTTCCCCCCATTACATTTATAGAGAGTTTACTAATTGTTATTACAATTCTACCCTTTTTCTAACTAACTATGGAATTATCTAGAATAATGAATTAATAACAACTTGCATGGAATATTGGAGGTGGGGGTCTATCACAATGTTGCAGCTATCCGAAAGACTCCGCTTCGAATTTTGAAACTGAATTGACAACGATGGCAATATCATTGAGAAGCTAAACTATTCTCCTGTTTTTCAGTATTGCAGCCATCTGGAAGAATTGTACCACCAACTCTGGTCGGAGGCCAATATCGAAACACAGATCTTCCTAAAATATTCTTCGAGGGGAGGGGACCCCTAATCATATGACAAATTTCATGCATAAGAAAGTGTAAATCTATTCAGGTGATATTAAATTTTAAATGCAGGAAATATTACCAGACATGCGAGTCATAGCTGTTATTTCGATTATCGCCCATCACAAAAACAGAGTTCTCTGGTACACGCTGCACCGAAACACAAAAACAGATTATAAATTGTTTAGGGACAATTCCTTTTTGAACTCTTTGTGTATGGTGATCGGAGTACCATACAAGGCTTCGACTCAGAGATATTGAGATCATATGATTCAATTCCATTAATAGCTTATAAATCTTATTGACATCTTATCCTAATCTTAACACTCACACGAGGGAAAAAGACGATCTATAGAGCGTTAAATCTGAACACTTACAATTTGATTCATTTCATACTTGGGTACTTCAAGAATGTAATCTTCATTCCTTACAACCCCATTTACAACCAGTTTTCCATCATGAACCTGCACTAGAAAGAATAACACAAGAACAACAGGCATTACATGTCTAATTGCTAAAGATTCTTATAGATAGCTAGAGACAATGCAGAAATCACAAACTACGAAAAGAAATAAAAGTCAAGAACTTGGACCATGAATCAGTAGATGAAGGATCTAAGAATAATCTTGCATTCATGAGTAGAAGAACAGAAATCAATTAAAGATGATAGCTTCTGCCGTAATATGGTGCTGATGCTGGAGAGAGAATCTCATATGATGGCAGCAGACCATGTGCAGGATATACTCCCTCAAAGCGAATATACAACCTTGTGGACAATTTTCTTACTAAAGTTCTCTTAACAATGTTTATAGTTTTATCAAAATGACCCAAGAGTGTTAATGAATATCTGAACATCAGAAAGGGATTAGGTATCAATAAGAATTGACAGGTTCAACTTGCAGCAAGATAGTACAGTAAAACTCTGTTACAGATGATTCGTGACTCTCTCCAAGAAGATGAAAAGGCACGTATATCTTTTTGACATTCTATCCTTAAATTAGACAAGGTATAAAAATTCAGGTTATTTAAGCAAATGGAAATTGTGTTAGTTTCTAATGAATCGTTTTTGTTCACACTCTCTTGTTCTAGTCCATGTCCAGAGCATTGGTTCATACAAATTACTCATCCTGCTCTCCCATTTCTTCCTCGATCGACCTGGGTAATGGAATTACAAGAGTCGTGCATATTACTCCAAGCTTAATATATACCAAATATTGTATCCAGCTCATGCAAAATTAACAACATATCTCGTGACTCATCAAACCTTAAGATTGTCATTTTCCTACAGTATAATAATTGTAGAGGGACAGGCTTAGGGATGATACAGATAATAACAAACAAATGAATCCATTGTTTTGTATGTGGCTCATATGAAATGGAACGGCTTTGGCATCGGCCTTGCAGGTTTTAATTTATTATCTGTTTGCCAAGAACGCTAAATCGGTTGGAGTGCGGGGCAATACCCTCGTGGTATGGTGCAGGGTATTTTCTTATATGGGTCCTAAAGTTTTTATGGGCTTAGAGCTAGGGTTAGTATAAATACTGATGATGAAACCCTATTGTTCATACTGAGTAAAATTTTCATTTCGTTCCTTGTGGACGTAGGCACATCGCTGAACCACTATAAATACTTGCGCTGATTTCTCTCTTTCACTTCTCTATTATTTGCGTATAAAATTCAACATCCGTGATGACAATATTTTATCGATAATAGAGCACAAATAGGAGGGAAAATGTCTTAAAGTCTCACCTCCACCATATCACCTTCTTTGGCAACAATACGTTTAATAAATACATCTTCGTCTGTGTATCCAACTTCCTGAAGGGCTGGCGGGCTTTTAAAGATCACAATATCATTGGGACAGGGCTTCCTGAAATAATAGGAGACCTGTAAATTCCAAATAAAACATCAGCCACCAAACAACAATTCAATCAGTTACCAAAGATCTTCCAGTGAACTATAGACATTATAGCAGTTCAAATAGTAAATTCTGAACAAGGGGAGCACATCAACATACAATTTATCTGCAAGAGTTCAAGCTTTTAGTGTCATACTAATTGCAGTAGATAACTGAGATGTTATGCATACTCTATCGTAATTTAATGATGAAATAGTTTACATTTAGAATTAATAGCTAGACGAGATCTAGCTTAGGGCTGGGCATAGTCCAATTCGGTTCTAACAATATAATGATGAAATAGTTTACATTTAAAATTAATAGCTAGATGAGATCTAGCTTAGGGCTGTGCATGGTCCAATTCAGTTCTTTTTAGAGTCGAACCGGACCAAAAATTTTCGGATATTTAGTAAGTGGAGCCGTCAGGTTCGGTTCAGTTCTCAAGTTTTGTACTATAATTAATTTTTTTAACATTTACAAAACTACATTAATTCAACTAATGACATGTTCAATCTTAACTCTTACAAAATAACGTAGTCTAATCTTATGTTTCTTTTGTATTTCTCTTTGCTGAGTTCTTCATAGATTTGATTGTGAAAATCACAAAAAGATGACGATAGCGAGTTTACAATGATTAAGAGAGGCACAGTGGAGCTTCAATTATATTTCTCCATAATGGTAGAAACGGCACTACGGTAGAATAACAAATTTGGATAAAACTTAGGTCAACTTGATTAAGTTGGGCTTGGATTGAAAATTAGAAATAGGAAAATCATATTTTTGGGTTAGCAAATTTATTTAGAAAAAATAAAATAATTTCACTTATTTATAATAGATAAAATTAAAAATTAGAGAGATTCGATTCTTGATCTAGAACTGAGAACCAAATCGAACCTGTCCGTTCTTGATTCAGATAGTCGTTCGAATTTTTAACTTAACAAGAATAACTCGGTTCGTTTCGGGTCCGGTTCTATTTGGGAGTCTTGTCGAGCCCTAATCTAGTTCATGAAGCTTGGAGGGAGTGCATCACTTTTCACTCAGAAATGGTTGAGACTACGTATTATTGTAATTGTAATTTCTTACATGTTTCTTCGGTTTAGAAAAATTTTAGACTAGCTAGAACTATTCCATGAATGACAACCTTCAGCTCATAGTGTGTGAACAAATTTGAAAGCACCCATTTCCTCGATGCATGTACTTCAAATTTTATTCAATAAAGAAACCCTTGAACATCTTCCTTCCAAGCTGCCTGTCCAGTCATACTTCCAACTAATTTATGAATTTTCGCAATACACACATACCCGAGGTACAATCAAGATTGGAAAAATGAAAAGTAAACATGACAATATCAAGGAGAGAGATAAACCTGGGCGTGGTTCCCGCAGGAAGCAGCCAATATTATTATAATTTTGTTGAACAATGTGCGCGAACAATGGCACATGCACGTAACACATACAATTGCTCAAATATTAAAGCATGCCGACTTATCAATACTTGGGATAGAAAATAACATTCCTCAAATATTTGAATTTTGAGGCGAAACTGTCCTCCAGACTGTTGCCTGTAACAAAATACAAGTAATAACACCTTATCCTACCAGGCGGTGCCTAATCCACAAAAAAGATGATAAAAAGAACCAGAGATTGAGGAGTTGTTGGATGGAATAGAATTATTCAGGCATCACACAGGCACATATACATTTATTTCTGGGAGTTAAGATTTCTTTATGCATACATGGAACCGTTTTCGACTCAGTTCTACTATCAGAATTTAGTGATAATTTGAAAATGTTAATATGTACTATAAATATATAAACATTCTAGATAAGCGCTCCCCACAGTGAATGAGTTACCATTACCCTATAATATATGAATTTATCTCCAAGATGGAAGAGTAATACTTCAAAATATCAAAACTTCCCCTAGCATTTAGCAGTTAAGTCCCAAACTTTATCACCAAAATAAGAAAGAGAGAATTAAATACCTTTTCAGCTAAAATCATATCTCCAACATCAAATGTGGGATACATAGACAGTGAGGGAATAAATCTAGGCTCAGCTACAAAAGACCTAAAGGCAAGCGATATGGCCAACGCTGCAAAAACTGTCTTGGCGTCATCCGAAGTGAAATTCAGCCATTCCGGCGATGACACACTACTCTTCTCCACCTGTCCATCATCTCCATCACCGCCTCCGCCTCCTCCGCCGCCATCCCCTTCCTCCGGGTTCAAAGATGCTTTTACAGTCTCTTTGTTGGAGTCTTTGATTCTATCAGAACGAAGGGTCTGAAAGAGAGCATTTTTACTTTCTGAGTGGTTGAAAGGCAGGAAATTGGGACCCTTAAAGAAAAATTTGAAATGGGTGTGGCTGAATTGGAGGGTCCTTGACGAAATATTGAAGTTATTGGTGGGCGTGAAGCAGTAAACACATGGGAAGTTAGGGTTCTTCAGAGAAGGGAGTGGAGGGACGAGCCCCAGCGAAACCATCTGGTTGAAATCGAAATGGCAGATGAATTGGGCGGTGGACCTCCCTACAGTACACCGTGTAAACGGTGCGTGTGGTGGTTGTGCCGGTGGGAGTAATGGGCAGTAGGCGTTCTGCTTAATCTGTTAATATAGACCATGTTTCGTTGTACTTATAAGTTGGTCAAACGTACTTATAAGCACTTTAGTATAAGAAATATTTTTAACAAATGAAAAATGTCACTGAGGACTAATAGCTCCGCTCGCTAGAAATGTTTTATCATTTCATTCGTTTTGATTCAAGAACCGGCAAACCGGTCCATGGTCCGGTCCCATTGCCTTATTAACATCCGGATTGGTCTGATAATTATGATTCTAGCATTTCACATCAGCAAAGAGACCAGCAAAATAATTAATAATGTAAAATGAAGCAATAGAACTAGACTCATTAAACAAGTTGTAAATATTTAAGACGTGTTTGGCGTACAGTATTGGATATGATAGTACAACATTATAGATATTTACAATATATTAAATTTACTCCGCTTCGAATTTTGAAACTGAATTGACAACGATGGCAATATCATTGAGAAGCTAAACTATTCTCCTGTTTTTCAGTATTGCAGCCATCTGGAAGAATTGTACCACCAACTCTGGTCGGAGGCCAATATCGAAACACAGATCTTCCTAAAATATTCTTCGAGGGGAGGGGACCCCTAATCATATGACAAATTTCATGCATAAGAAAGTGTAAATCTATTCAGGTGATATTAAATTTTAAATGCAGGAAATATTACCAGACATGCGAGTCATAGCTGTTATTTCGATTATCGCCCATCACAAAAACAGAGTTCTCTGGTACACGCTGCACCGAAACACAAAAACAGATTATAAATTGTTTAGGGACAATTCCTTTTTGAACTCTTTGTGTATGGTGATCGGAGTACCATACAAGGCTTCGACTCAGAGATATTGAGATCATATGATTCAATTCCATTAATAGCTTATAAATCTTATTGACATCTTATCCTAATCTTAACACTCACACGAGGGAAAAAGACGATCTATAGAGCGTTAAATCTGAACACTTACAATTTGATTCATTTCATACTTGGGTACTTCAAGAATGTAATCTTCATTCCTTACAACCCCATTTACAACCAGTTTTCCATCATGAACCTGCACTAGAAAGAATAACACAAGAACAACAGGCATTACATGTCTAATTGCTAAAGATTCTTATAGATAGCTAGAGACAATGCAGAAATCACAAACTACAAAAAGAAATAAAAGTCAAGAACTTGGACCATGAATCAGTAGATGAAGGATCTAAGAATAATCTTGCATTCATGATTAGAAGAACAGAAATCAATTAAAGATGATAGCTTCTGCCGTAATATGGTGCTGATGCTGGAGAGAGAATCTCATATGATGGCAGCAGACCATGTGCAGGATATACTCCCTCAAAGCGAATATACAACCTTGTGGACAATTTTCTTACTAAAGTTCTCTTAACAATGTTTATAGTTTTATCAAAATGACCCAAGAGTGTTAAGGAATATCTGAACATCAGAAAGGGATGAGGTATCAATAAGAATTGACAGGTTCAACTTGCAGCAAGATAGTACAGTAAAACTCTGTTACAGATGATTTGTGACTCTCTCCAAGAAGATGAAAAGGCACGTATATCTTTTTGACATTCTATCCTTAAATTAGACAAGGTATAAAAATTCAGGTTATTTAAGCAAATGGAAATTGTGTTAGTTTCTAATGAATCGTTTTTGTTCACACTCTCTTGTTCTAGTCCATGTCCAGAGCATTGGTTCATACAAATTACTCATCCTGCTCTCCCATTTCTTCCTCGATCGACCTGGGTAATGGAATTACAAGAGTCGTGCATATTACTCCAAGCTTAATATATACCAAATATTGTATCCAGCTCATGCAAAATTAACAACATATCTCGTGACTCATCAAACCTTAAGATTGTCATTTTCCTACAGTATAATAATTGTAGAGGGACAGGCTTAGGGATGATACAGATAATAACAAACAAATGAATCCATTGTTTTGTATGTGGCTCATATGAAATGGAACGGCTTTGGCATCGGCCTTGCAGGTTTTAATTTATTATCTGTTTGCCAAGAACGCTAAATCGGTTGGAGTGCGGGGCAATACCCTCGTGGTATGGTGCAGGGTATTTTCTTATATGGGTCCTAAAGTTTTTATGGGCTTAGAGCTAGGGTTAGTATAAATACTGATGATGAAACCCTATTGTTCATACTGAGTAAAATTTTCATTTCGTTCCTTGTAGACGTAGGCACATCGCTGAACCACTATAAATACTTGCGCTGATTTCTCTCTTTCACTTCTCTATTATTTGCATATAAAATTCAACATCCGTGATGACAATTTTTTATCGATAATAGAGCACAAATAGGAGGGAAAATGTCTTAAAGTCTCACCTCCACCATATCACCTTCTTTGGCAACAATACGTTTAATAAATACATCTTCGTCTGTGTATCCAACTTCCTGAAGGGCTGGCGGGCTTTTAAAGATCACAATATCATTGGGACAGGGCTTCCTGAAATAATAGGAGACCTGTAAATTCCAAATAAAACATCAGCCACCAAACAACAATTCAATCAGTTACCAAAGATCTTCCAGTGAACTATAGACATTATAGCAGTTCAAATAGTAAATTCTGAACAAGGGGAGCACATCAACATACAATTTATCTGCAAGAGTTCAAGCTTTTAGTGTCATACTAATTGCAGTAGATAACTGAGATGTTATGCATACTCTATCGTAATTTAATGATGAAATAGTTTACATTTAGAATTAATAGCTAGACGAGATCTAGCTTAGGGCTGGGCATAGTCCAATTCGGTTCTAACAATATAATGATGAAATAGTTTACATTTAAAATTAATAGCTAGATGAGATCTAGCTTAGGGCTGTGCATGGTCCAATTCAGTTCTTTTTAGAGTCGAACCGGACCAAAAATTTTCGGATATTTAGTAAGTGGAGCCGTCAGGTTCGGTTCAGTTCTCAAGTTCTGTACTATAATTAATTTTTTTAACATTTACAAAACTACATTAATTCAACTAATGACATGTTCAATCTTAACTCTTACAAAATAACGTAGTCTAATCTTATGTGTCTTTTGTATTTCTCTTTGCTGAGTTCTTCATAGATTTGATTGTGAAAATCACAAAAAGATGACGATAGCGAGTTTACAATGATTAAGAGAGGCACAGTGGAGCTTCAATTATATTTCTCCATAATGGTAGAAACGGCACTACGGTAGAATAACAAATTTGGATAAAACTTAGGTCAATTTGATTAAGTTGGGCTTGGATTGAAAATTAGAAATAGGAAAATCATATTTTTGGGTTAGCAAATTTATTTAGAAAAAATTAAATAATTTCACTTATTTATAATAGATAAAATTAAAAATTAGAGAGATTCGATTCTTGATCTAGAACTGAGAACCAAATCGAACCTGTCCGTTCTTGATTCAGATAGTTGTTCGAATTTTTAACTTAACAAGAATAACTCGGTTCGTTTCGGGTCCGGTTCTATTTGGGAGTCTTGTCGAGCCCTAATCTAG